ACAGTCTTACTCATAAGAGTGACTTTTGGCTTGCATCTGGGTTCTTGAATTTCTGAAAAGTCCCCTCCATCTCTAAATGATAAGAGGGTGCACTACAATTAAGGCTTTTGTATAAATAATGTGATTTCCCTGAGCATTTTCTTTTTTCTAAGAGTCTGGAATTTTGGTATGTGCTAGGAAGAGGGTAAACTACATGGCTGACACCTATAGAAACCTTGGATTCCTAGCTCAGGTGAGCTTCCCTGGGAGACAGTGATTCAGGTATGGAGTCACAACTCATTGGTGGAAAAATTAAGTACATCTTGTGTGACTCCATGAAGAGATGACTCTTGGGAGCTGTGCATGGTTTCCTCTGACCTTTGCCATAGCTGCATTTTTTTCCTTTTACTGATTTTTAAAATATCCTTTTGTTAACAGCTATGAATGATTATAACAAAAGGATATAAAATAAAATTCATAGCTGTGGGCACAACTGTATGCTCAATCCTGTGAGTCTTCCTCAAGAGTCATTGACCCTGGGGGAGGTCTTGGGATCCCAAGACATATCCTCCCTTCTCTATTTTGTTCCTTTATTCCCCTCTTCTCTCACTGATTTCTTCTGGGAGCACATCATTAATAAACTGGAGACATCCTAAATCCTAGACCTGCTTCTGGGAGAATCTATGACTATTCTGAATCAGTCAAAATAGTCTCTACTGTAAGTACTCTTTCTTTCTTTCTTTCTTTCTTTCTTTCTTTCTTTCTTTCTTTCTTTCTTTCTTTCTTTCTCTCTCTCTCTCTCTCTCTCTCTTTCTTTCTTTTTCTTTTCTTCCTCTTTCTTCTCGTCTCTTCTTTCTATTCCTAACATTCTCAGCTCTTAATCCTCTACTCCTTGTCCCACCTACCTCTGTTCCCCTTCAAACTTTTACTCTTTAATAAATATATATTTATATGGACAAATTATTTCAACATTCATACAGGGTAAATATACATACAAGTTGTACTACAAGGCTTGAAATAAAACAGAGCACCATTTAGCCCCATCTCTCCCCCCACTGAGTCCTATTCTGCAGAGGTAAAGATTGTCAATATTTTAAAGGTGTTTATTCCTGTATTTACCTCAAAATATTGAAATGGTGTGCTACTATATTTCTCTCAATACTTAACACATGGGAAAGAAGTATGACATGGATTACTTGGGAAAGAAATAGTATTCTTTTCCCTCTACTTATATTTGGAAACATATCTTATTCCAGAAGGAAGATATTGGCAGTAAAGTTTTCAGAATGATTAAACAGTCATGTGACAAGCCAGTGCCCTTGAGATTGAATTTATCTTTCCTTAAGTGTTTTCACAGTTATTTTTGGTACTTATGATGGTGCACAGAAGCAGTTCTTAAAAGAGGCAGAAAAACGTACTTTAAGGGCTTGCCTCAGTGCTCACCTCAACCTGTTCTCAATCCCAAGTCTTCTACAGCATGACCAGAGTCCAGTCCATCTGCTGTGGTGCTGAGTGTTCTTAGGTAACTGAGTTACTTTCATTCAAGGATGGCACAACACACATTGATGGCCCCAGCCGGTGGCCCTCATTACTCTCATACTGTATCATGAGTAGCTGAGTGATGGTACCTATGAATTGTGGTGATTTACTTCCACAAAAATATCTTCTAGTTCCATAAAAAGCTGGTTGAAGTATGAAAATGACTTGTTCATGTTCATATCAATGGTTACATGTGAACTTTTACTAATGTAGAAAATCACAAAAAAGGCAGCATGAAAGTGCAGGCATTTGAAACTACTGGGGTTCACCACTTACCAAAATAATGTGGAAAACAAAATAACATAACTGAGCTTTTGAAATGCACATGAAAAGGCATCAATGCTCTGATATGTGAAATAGAGCACATGATAAGGATATATGGATGGTGTCATTTATTTACTTTTTTTCTGACTGAGAAGAAGGAAATATGGAAATAGTGTTTGATTAACAGTCTCCAGTGAGAAATAAGATAATACATATTCTTCCTCTTCTCCAGTCTAATAGCCTTGCTTTGTTCAGCATCTAATGAACCAATTTAGGAAGCAAAATACCCTTGCCTCATCAAATTTACATCTTTAAATAAAACAAGCTTAAATATAATAAAATAAAAATTAGAACAGGGAAGATTTGGGTGCCCAATTGTTCTAACATCCTCCAGGATTCCTTCCAGCCTCTAGACCTTTGAAGTAGCTTCCTGAATTTGTGCTCAGAGGTCTGGAATGCTTTTCATATGATCTTTAAATGACGAGCAATACTTTTTTCTATTACACATAAAATGTTTCTCTCTTTTCGGAGAGTCTAAAGTCTCTGGTGCTCTCTTTTGTCTTGAAATTCTGTTACATTCCCGTGTCTGTCTGAGAATCTACCTGAAACCTCTCTGGGGGTTCAAAACCCTTCCCCAACACGGCTTCTTAGAAGACAACTAGAAAAGCAAACAACAGCAGCAGCAAATTCTAATGATCTCTGGAAGCCTGGACAAAATATTTCAGAAGAAAAAAATAAATGCTTTGAGATCACTAGCAAAGTTGTGAAATTTGTGAAAAATTCGGGAGAAGAAAAGTATTTTTATTTACTAGGTTCCCAGGCTCTAATTCTTCATGTCTCTACTTGAGCTATAACTTAATTATAAAACAAAATCTATAGCCACAACCCAGGCCTGGAGGTAGAGACATACACCTAATCAACTTTAATTCCCAGGGCTCAATTTAATTACAAAACAACATTTGGCGCAGCTGCTAAACACTTGCCAGGTGACCACATGATAATACTGGACTGATTCACAAGTCTCTTATTCTGGCAGCACAATTATGTCTTAGCTATATAGAAATATGAGCAGGCACTAGGATTTATAATGAAAATATTTTTTTTGATTATATACTCCCTTGGAGTTGAGCCTTATAGTTGAGTTAAAGTGAGTTGCACTACAACAAATTAATGTCAGGAGGGAAAATGTAATGGCATGAGAGATGTTGTGGTATAGGACAATAAGAAACTGAGCATCAGTTGCATACTTACCTTTTAAAAAATTCATTCTGTTTATGAGGTAAACAAAGTAAAACTAGCTTATGTGTACTGTGAATTATTAATTTTCTTTTTAGGATACAGTATACATTACATTCCAATACAACTAAGAACATCTAACTCATACACCTGCTTGTTTTTTTCAGTGTTTCAGAAGACAAGTTTGGAGGTAATCATTTGTGTTACAAAACAACTTCTACTTGACAAACTTAAAATAAGTCACTACTATTTTAAAAATAGCTGGATCTTCTATCTGTATAAAATATACTCAATTTGCACAAATATCCAGGAAGATCACTGTACTAAGTGAACTAGATCTGATTTTTTTCATTGCATGGCACTGAGACAGAGGTTCCACGCACAATTAACTTTTTATTTTAGCTTTTTGTTTCACTCAAATAAACTTTTTACAATACCCAGAACCCTAATTCCTCTCTAGGTCTATAGAAGTACAAGAAAAATTATTTGAACTGAGAGGAAAAGCCAAGCAGCACCATCACTAATAGAATTCAATATGACCCTTACTGTTTCTCTAGCAATTCCGAAGATACTACAGAATATTGTTCAATCCAAATTAGAATTTATGGTGTGAGTTAAAAGACACGAAACACGCTTCTTTTGCTTTCTTAGCTAGCTGCCAGTCTCCAAGTGTTACTCTCTATTTTCTTTCCCTTTAGTGTAGAACAGGGAAAAGTAAAAGAGAAAATATATCATAGCTGATTATACCATCATAGAAAACAGCAGAATACATAAAATCCACCATAAAAGATCTGGAACAATAATCCCAGTCTTCACATTTCAACTTCAAGCACTGGTTCAGATTTTACTCAATGCTGTCCTACATGGCTAGCTCAGACCCTGGACAAAGATGAATGGCTAATTTCTCAGTAATAGCCACGTCTGTTAGTCTCCTGCCCCAGAGAGTGTCTTCCTTTATGACTGAACAGTGGCTGAGTCACAGGAGGAAACAATTCTGCTTGCTGGAAGAAAATAGGATGGAAGGAATTATGACGGTTACCAGATGTTCCAGTACACCCGAGGGGGTACCAGAATGTCTCTGCATATGCTGTAAACAGCATAAACTGTCAAACCATGGGGCCCTGGGGTTTGCTGATGTGCAGAGTCACAGGATTCAAGAGTTAGAGGAACCCCACAGATGATCTTGTTCAGAGTTTTAGACTATGTCTGCAGGAGTCCTGTGGTTCCTAAGTGTGACTCGGGGATTGCCGAGGGGTGAGGGGTAATCCCCAAAACAGTAGCAGTACTTTTTGGAAAGAACATAAAATCATATCAGAGCTAACATCAGGACAGTATATTTTATCAAACAAATGTTGTGAGAGTCCAGGATCATTGCTGGGGTTGAGGAAAAGGGACCTGTGCAAAGAACTTTCTGGGGGTGCCATGACCTTCCTAGAGAGGAGACCCTGGAGGGAAGGGGAAGGTTGATTCAGAAACATGAGGCCGGGATGGGCCTGAAGCCTGGGAGCCTAGAAATTAAATGACATCACCAAGACACACTGTCAGGGAGGAAGAAAAAGGCTTCAAGAATCAAGACAACCAACCCTTCTTTGTTTATATTTTATTTTCTATGGCAGTGTTTTAAACCATTTAAACAAAGTTACCTTTCCCTGTTATTTTTAAATTTGACAATTTAATATATTCTTGCCCTGATGATAATTTCTTATTTTACATTACCTGTTCTGTTTTTAAATTTTAAGATACCCTGTGACTGTTCATGAAATCTCTCTACTGCCACCATTAGAATGAAAAAGACGAGAGAAAAGGGGGAAGGGAAGAAGGGAGAGAGACAGAGAGGGAGACAGAGAGAGAGAAGCAGCTATTTCTATGTTTGTAAATGGAACCAGTTATGATGAAAGAAGACAAGATTTTAACATCAGGCCGAGCATATCTCCAGGGTTAATCAGACATTCATGCAAATGTGATAGATATATCTGTCTTACCATCACTGTTGATGCACACAACCTCTTGAACTTGAGTGCCAGGACCACACTCCTTTCCATTATCTGGTTCACAGTCTCCAAGCCTCACTGCTTTCCAGTCATAACAGGCTGGTTCTTCACAAGGAATGGCTTCCAGTAAGTGGGGGCAGTTTCCAGTCCCCCCAGAGCCTCCAGTGGGCTCATTGGTAATACGCCGCTTCCTCAGTTTGAAGCCTGAATTATTGGGGAAAGAAAATATCTATTGTTACCATCAGTGGTAGAGTATCTCAGAGAACTGAATCAAACACCAGAGTGAAAATTGAGTAAGAATGCAACCAGAAGTTACGGTTGTTCTGAATCACTGGTGTACTCCCAGACTCCAGCTTAATATGAAGTCATAAGCCATTTATAAAATGAATAAATAATTGTATTTATGAACAGAATGGAAAAAAGGGACTTTTGGTTTTAGCTTACTGTAGTAAAGATAAGGCAAGAAATACCATATATCTCCCATCTCCCTCCTAGGACCTAGGCAACGGGGAGATGAGGGCAAAAATAAAGATATGGATAGATTTGGGTTTATTTGGAAAGTCTATAGTCATAGACTACTCAAGGAAACAATGAAATCTCAAGCTATTCAGAAATATTCATGACCAGACAAAAATGCTATTATTTTTAATTTTCAGCACTCTTGCATGATTGAATTTAAAGAAGGAAACTCTGGGAAGTTGGGTAGTTCCAGAGAAACTTTTTCTTTGAGGCTCAGTTGATTTTAGACTCTCTGGATATTTGTAATAGGGTCATAAACCATTTGGGCTCCAGTGTGAAGTATTCAAAGTCCTGTTCTGTGCTTTAATAATACCCAAGTATTGCTCTTCTTGACAATGTATAACAGAATCAATAAATCTTGTTATTGCTATGTGAACATATTAGGAACAATAGAGGACTCTCTTTTGAAATATAATAGAAAAATATTTTTAATTATGAGAGTATAGGAAAATTAGCACACCATGCCTCCCATGCATTTCTTTTACTCCTTTTAAGACATGTCATTTGCATCCTGAAAATAACAATGTTTTTATATTTTTGTCTTCAAAGTAATAAGAAGCTCTATTTATTGGGCATTAGCTATGGGTTAGGCACTGAATTAAATGTTTTATGTGTATTATCTCATTGACTCTTTAGAGACAATCTGGGTGGTAGGTATTATTACATCCCTTTTATAGATAAAGCAACAAAGATTTAGACAAGTTAATTAACGTTTCTAAACAGTAAGGGGCAGAGTAGGTCTAATCCAGGCCAGTCTGTCACCACAGCTCATTTTAACCCTCACAGTGAACTGCCTCAGATGTCTTATCATGTTGTCTAAATTAACAAGCATCTTGACTACATTCTGCCATTTTAATCATCTGGTATCTTCACCAGAGTAGGTTCATTCACCTTTTGAAATCAATACTCTATGGTCATTCTGGAAAAAATTACAAACAAATAATCACAAGAAACACAGGACAGTATTTTAAGGATAATTTATGATTTGCTTCAATTGAAGGGAGTTTCAAGCATGTCATGTCAATATCACATACCTTTTTTGCCTTGTTGGTCATTACAGTTTTCATAAGTACAAGGTCCCCAAGCTGACCAAGGTGAAACCTCACACTCAATTGGACAAGGAATGTGGCACAGCTGTGTGGTATTAGGGACAGGCCCAGTACATAATTTCAAGTCCACAGGTTTTGAGGCTGTTTGGAGAAAAATACAGACACTTCTTAAGAATTCAACAAAAAAGAAAATGTATAGTCAACAATATGATCTTTTTCTGTGTGTATGGAGAAGAAAAATGCTTTTAAAAGTGCTACAAAGACATCATTTCAATGTTTGTTGGTACATCCTGAAAATAAAAGGAGAAGAATCTGGGGTGGAGAGGAGGAAGAGTGTAGTCAAAGGCATTGGAGAAGTCTTGCATGTTGTTTGATTACCAGCTTACCACGAATCAGCCAGGCAATGAACCATGCCCAATGTAACCTTCCCTGTCAGTAATAAAATCCTTAAAGTGACCTCTAAAATTCCACAGCTAGAGTCTAAGACTGTGAAATCTACTTTGGAACACAATAGGAGGGTACAATAGCTTTACTATACATGGAAAAAATGTCCACTGAGTGGCTTCTGGTGGAGATTCTCCCATCTCTTTTGGCCCACAGGTATTGAGACATACCAGGTGGATATGACAGAGGAGATCAAAAGGGGGTGATTCTCCATCTCCAGTCACAGGACTCACCCAAGGTTTTCCAGAAATTTTAAAGAATATATTTCTGAGCTGGGCTCGGTGGCTCAGCCTGTAATCCGGCACCTTGGAAGGCTGAGGTGAGTGGATTGCCTGAGACCGCGGGTTCAAGACCCGCCTGGGCAACTTGGTGAGACCTCATCTCTACAATAAATCAAAAATTAGCCGGGTGTGGTAGCGCGCGCCTGTAGTTCCAGATACTTGGAAGGCTGAGGCGGAAGGATCACTGGAGCCCAGCAGGTAGAGGTTGCGGTGGCCGGGAGCGGCCACTGCACTCTAGTCTAGGCAACAGAGTGAGATACCAACTCAAAAAAAAAAAAAAAAGAATATATTTCTGCAAACTGAAGAATCGCTGAGGATTCTAATGTATAATTATCTATGTTTGTTTATAAATTGACCAGTGAACTATGGATAAATATTCCTTATCCTTGCTTTTCTATTTTGATGCCTGCAGTTTGGCTCTTTTGTATACACATATATTTGACAGCTATTGTCAAGACATGTTCATAGTTCTGGACACAGAACTCATTAAAAATGACTAAGTAAGGAAGATATTTAAAACTACATGAATAGCAGGACAGAATCAAGTCTGGCTGTTTGTCACCCATCTATCTTCTATCTATCTATCTATCTATCTATCTATCTATCTATCTATCTATCTATCTGTCTGTCTGTCTGTCTGTCTGTCTATCTATCTATCTATCTATCTATCTATCTATCTATCTATCTATCTATCCATCTCCTAATAGCTATAGTTTGTTTTTTGCAAAAAAAATTTAACAAGTAATTGTCTTGGTCACACATTTCCTTGAATAAAAGCTAGTTCCTGTTTCACTTTTATAATTTCGGAGTGCTGATGCTTATAGAAGAAAAGTTTCAAAGATGTGGAATTAACCCAAATGCCTACCATTAGTGGATAATGAAGATGTGATATATATATATCAGAATACCATATATATGGTGTGTGTATATATATACATATACACATATATACCATAGAATACTATTCAGTTATAAAAAAAGAACAACATAACATCTTTTGAAGCAAGTTGAATGGAATTGGAGATCATCATACTAAGTAAAGTATGCAGGAACAAAAAAATCAAACACCACATGTTCTAACTTATAGGCAGCAGCTAAGCTAAGGGTCTGCAAAGGCATAGAATGGTACAATGAACACTAGAGACTCAGAAGAGGAAGGGTGGGATGAAAAATTGTCTATCAGGTACAATGTGCACTAGTGGGAGTGAGAGGTACACTTAAAGCCCAGACTTCTTTGCCACTATACAGTATATCCATGCAACCAAAAACTGTTTGCTCCCTAAAGCTGCTGAAACTAAGAAATGCAAAACAATGGAGGCTTAAGTATTTCTTATTCTCCTATATGAAAGGACTATGAAATTCCAGTTGCATGGGACTGCAACTAGGAGCCATAGAGAAATTCACATTTTCAGCTATAGTATCCTATACTTTAAAAAAAAGTACCAAATATGTCTGTTTGTAGCTTTAACCTGAGACAAATCGTAAGCACTTGTGCACTCCTTAGATTTCTGCACACACAAACACACACCAAGTCTATGACACTGATTCCTCTTACTGCTACAATTTTCATTCTAAAGAATATTCTGGAGATTTTCTCTCTCATTTTTCCTGTTAATAGTGCTTATTTCTTTTCCTTCATCCTCACATAAACTGCAGGGAAAATAAATGACTAGGCACCTCTAATTTGCTTAGTATGAGCACAGCACAGTGAGCATTCTCACTCAAGTTTATCAGGATTGCTGCTAATGTGCATCATAATGTCAACCAAAGCCAAAAATGATTAATTTTATTGCTTTCCTGTAGTGAAAGTGCTTGGCACACTAATGACAGAAAATGCAGAAATAAATGCTTTACTCTTTCTGAATGCAAAAGAAATCTTGACATCAATGATGCATATTTCACATAAAATGGAGTCTTTTTAAGACCTTTATTGGTACAAGAGTCTACAGTATATGGCTAAACTAGCTGCACATTGACAAAGGTCATTATTTTCACTTGTGGAATCTTCCAGACTATCATTTAAATTAGAGGTTCTGTATAATGGAGACCTGAAAAGTCTCCATTTAAAAAATTATTAAAAGTCACTTTAAATTTTAATGTTATTGCATTGTTTTTCAAATAATCGTTTCTATAAAATGAAGTTTGATGGGCATGCAATTGTGAGAAATTTTAGAGTCTGAAGAAATGTATTTTACATAGAAGGATGAAACTTTTGGGAAGGAAACAGGTTAAATATTGTACAGTCACTTCCTGGTAATTTTCTTTGTAAGTTTAACTTTAGCTTTTGGTGTATTTTGAATAAATCAAGTAGAATAATCGGTCACAAAAATCTTGAGTGGCCTAAAGAGAAATGTGATGAATAAAGGGGCTTGAGGAAGTATCACTAAAGCAAAATACTCTTCAAGGCTGCTCAGTTGCTAGAGCCCAGGTCAACACTGAGAAAATTCTTGAAAAATGACCTCTATTGCATAGCTGTTCATATATACAAACAAGTTTTTTTTTATTATTAATAAAAGAAACACAGGAGGAGAGTATCTGGATGTGTATAATTATATTCTTTTAGTGATTTTCATTATAGGTTTTCTTGAAACAGTATTTATTGATTACACTGCAAATCACAGATGCTAGCTGAGTGCCTCAAAAACTGTAAGTCAATTATATCTTTGCAATTCCTGGAAGTTATTGGGAATCAGTGTGACTCAATGAATGAAGTAAAGGACAAACCTGGGATAACCTGCCAAGTTCTAGCTTTGTGGGATATAATTCCTGTAGTTCTTTATTATAATAATACAGTGTTTACTGGTGGTCCCATAGTTTCATACTGAGATGTGACTTTTCTAGAGTCGCCTACTCCTTACTCTTATATAACTCACTATTTATGAAATGGTTCATTCAGTACAAATTCCAAGTAAATATATATTAGAATTTTTTTAAAGCTGTATCGTTGATCTCTTGAAAATAAAGGGAACATTTTATTGTTCTCAAGTAATTTAAATGATATTCAACTAAATGCTTATTGCCTGTTTCACAAGATCAGAAAAGAACGTCTGAATTTTTCTGAGGCTAAACAAAATCCCCCCCCACAAAAATGAGACTGTATTTCTGTAAAATTTGCATTTCTAAAATATTTTTGTGTTTTGCATATTTAAACTCTATACATGGAAACAAATAATTTAGGAAATAAATGTAATACTTCTCTTTTCATAAATATGGTCAATGAAGTAATCTTAATAACCCCAAAAGATAGTTAAAATATAATTTTAAATTAAATATTTTATTTTGAGATAATTGTAGATTCATATGAAATTATAATTTGATGGACTCTATGTACTCTATATACCCTTTCCCCCAATGATAAGAACTTATACAACTAGTGTGCAATGTCATAGTCAGAATATTGACATGGTTACAGTCAAGGTACATGTACTTGGGTTGTATAGTACCCTGCAAACTTTGTATCTACCAGAATCTCAGAATATAGTTTTATTTGGAAATAAGGTCTTTGCAAGTATAATTAGTTGATGACATATTACTGGATTAGGGTGAGTCCCAAATCCAGTGACTAGTGTCCTTATAAGAAGGCCTTGTGAAGACAGAAGAGAAGACTGGCCTTAATGGAGAGAAAGACTGGAGTGACACTGCTACAAGCCAAAGACACCAAGAATTGCTAGTAGCTCATGTGTTTCAATCTTAGGAGAAAAGCATCCTTTCTTTTACCATGAAATCTAGCATTAGCTGTAGGTTTTTGTGGGTGTTCATTATCAAGTTGAGGATGATCCTCCTCCTGTTTTTCTGAGAGTGTTTATTATGAAGGGGTGTTGAATTTTGTCAAACTATCTTTTCTGCATTGATTAATATGTGATCCTCTTCTTGAGCCAGTTGAATTGGTGGATTACATTGGTTGATTTTCTAACACACACTGAAGTAGCTTTGCAGTCCTGAATAAAGTGCACTTGATTTTAGATTTTAATTATTTTCATTTGTTGCTGAATCCTATTTGCTAATGTGCTGTTAAGGATTTTTGTATATATATTTATGAGGTGATTTGGTCTGTAGCTTTCTTTTGGTGAACTGTCTTTGTTGCCTTTTCTATTTTCTTCATAGAAATGGTCTATTTTATATTGGGTGAGCTATGGTAGGTTGTATTTTACTTTTACTGTTATTTCTTTTACTTATTCCATTTAGTCTAAGTTGTCAAATATATGTATATCAAGTCGCTTGCAGTACACTCTTGCTATTCTTTTGATGTCTGTAAGGTGTACAGTGATATCCTCTATTTCATTCCTGAAGTTGTGATTTGTGTCTTTTTTATCACCCTTGCTAAGAGTGTAAGTTTCACATCTGTTGAAAGAACCAGCTGCTTCATTGATTTTTCCCAATTGTTTTTCTGTTTTCCATGTCATTGATTTCTGCTTT